AGTTATTAAATATGTCAAGAAGTGGAGCCTACTGGGTTGATAAAGGTGACATTCCAGATATACTTTTCAGCTATTATTTTCAGTTTCTTCTTTCCCTTAAAAAAACCAAAGAAATAAAGACAGGGATAATGCCCAGCAGGGGATCAAAATTAAATACTTTCTGGCAGCTTCTGTTTGTGGACAGATTCAGAATATTTAATAGATATGATCTTGTTAAGAGCAGAACCAAGTCATCAGTGTTTTCTGAAAATAATGTTTTCAGAAGCCAGCCCGTCACTTAGGATAGAAACCGCATTTCCACAGAAATTCAGAAGCCTGCACTGGCTGGAAGTTGGGGGGTTGGTGACGGTGCCCTCAGGGAGCTGCGGAGTGTGGCCGTTCCCTGGGGCTGGGGCACCGGGGGGGGGTCTCCCAGGTGGATCGTGGCAGTCCCAGCCAGGAGCAGGGCAGCCAGGGGCCATTAGGGCAACCCCAGCCCTGGCATCGGGCACCTCCCTGGGGCCAGGGACAAGCCGAGGCTGGGACAGGACATAGACCCGCAGGTGAGCCCGGATCAATGGGGCCCATGGTCAGGCAGGTCTGGGCTGTGAGGAGATGGAGTCCAACCCTGCTGTGGCATTGCCAGGACAGGGGCTGGCAACCCTGGGGAGCTGCCATGGTGTTCTGAGCTGTGTGCAGGGAGGGCCAAGTGGTGAGTGAAAGCTGTATTGGTCTCTAATGGTTAACACGGCAAACTACTGGCCTGCAAAATCATTTTTTAAATAGGGTTTGGGGTTAAGATAAGATTGTTTAGGGAAGCAAGTTGAAACAATTTAAGAAGGGGGAAAAAAAAAAGCTTCTTTCAGTAGCAGTTAAAAACTTAGTATCACAGATCAATATATAATCGTCAGATGAGGTGGACTATCATAGAAACTAAGACCTGCTGAAGGACATTTTTGGTACTGTTTTCATGTCATAGTTAAAACCTCTTATACAGAAATTAGCTTTTTTCTAATATTTGGCATATTTCCCTTGTATTTCTTTTCAGTGCTTGTTACTCATCTCAACATTATGAGTAATCGTGTTTCAGTTTGCAATGAGTTTGTATTTCTTCTTGAATTAAGAGAGTCCCGCAACGTTCCAACTTTCTGTCTCTAACTGTCACAGCAGGGGAAAAAATAACACCACATTTTGTGTTTATCTGAGCTATTTATTCATGTTACTACAGCAGTGTGAATATCTCATCCTCTAGTGTTTACATGTTCTTGCAGTAGTTATTGGCAGACGTGATGGAATAATATCTCGCTTAAATGAAACATTTACACCCTTTCTAGGGATCTGGGTTGAGATGACTTTGGAAGGTCACACAAGTTAGGTCTGAACTAGTGAACAGAATGTGGGTTGGCTTGATCTGCATTGCTTAGTGGTATCATCCTCTTTGTCAAATTAATCTGAAAGAGAAATCATTACAGCAGTCCCAAGTAGAGAGAGAGTTCAACTATTGTCCAGCTAGATTTTGTTTTTACTGTCTTTCATAAATCATTATAGACATAGCTGCAGAAAAACAGTCTCCCAAACCATGCATTTGAAACCTAAGCGGTGAATTGTATTTACTCTGATTAGAAATGCTTTTATGGAATAAACCATCTGTTGTGGAGACAATTTCATAATATGCAAGGAAAAGAAAGAAGTGTTCCATGCTCAGGGACATTAATCTCTCATTAGTCTGGTAAGTATTGTCTTCAGCAGGGATTCCCAGGAGCTGTCTTCAGCAAAACACATACTGCAAATGTGTGTTTGAAAGGAGCCTTGATACTTTTCTACTTGGGCCAGTTTGTACTGAGATTGAAGTATTAGAAAAGACAAACAGTTATTTAATCTTTACAGAAAAACTGAAATATAAACCAACTGACAAAGGAAAGGTCATTTTGTTATGCAGAAGAAGTGCTATGCAAAGTCCTCCTATGTGAATTTAAAATTCAGTGTTAGAAATTAAAAGGCATAAATCAAAGTATTATATTTCAAACAATATAAGAAATACCAGGAAGTAGGGAAGCAGGAACTTCTCTTCACTTTCTCTTGTTTTCAGCTGTTGCCTTACAACTGCAGTGTAAAAGACCCAGTTGCAAATTGAAGGCTTTCAGTGTTTATTAACCCCAGATAATTTTCTTCTAATGACATTCCTGCCTGCATTTTTTAACTAAAGTTTTTTGAGTAATTTGATGTTTAGCAGAATAACATATAGTTGGTTGGCCATGCAATCAGCTGAGAATCTCTCGTGTTTCTTAACTTTTATTACTTGTTAGATGTAAAAGCCTTCTTACTAAAAATGTACCTGGATTGTCTTCACTGATGATAAGTACAAATAGTTGTTTCTTCAAAACAAAAACCAGCTACTGTTATTAATTTCTCCAGATGTTCCAGGCACTTCATGCTATCCCAGTGAATTTCTGATGTGCCTTTCTGTAGTATGGTGTTGGAATGCCATGTCTGTGTTGATATTTGGGTATTTTGAAAAAAGCTTACTTCTTAAATTCTGCAGCGGTTCCTTATTCTGTTGATTTCTTACGTATTTATGTAACCAATTTCTTAATTCGTTATCAATTTAATAATTTCAGTTATGAATACAGTGATTTTGTACTGGGATGTTTATATGGCATATCTGAATATGCTTTTACATATACCTATGTGGAGTTAAAAGGAGAGAATGAGAATGAAGATTGTTCTGATCTTTTTCAGTTTGGTATAGTTTTAACTTGAGTTTCTCATAGCTTCATAAACTCAGCAAATTTGTCATTTTCTTGGGCATACAAATTTTCTCCTGGCTTTATTCATCTTTTCTTCCTGTAAATTAGAGACAGTCTTTCTGAGGCAAATGTTAACATTTTCAAACACTTAACACTTAGGAATCATTTTATCAAAAAAGGAACCTACAGCAAAAGAAAAACAATTCTCATTGTTTCTGAAAAACTAGAATACCAGCAAACCAGGGTTAGAATACCAGAATACCTACTATTCTTTTTAGGAATAAATCACTTCAGAGAACATTTTGACTTTATAGGAAGTTTGGATCCCTGTCATTTTACATTGAGCTGATTCTTCCATCATTAATAGAACAAAATATCATTTTCAGGATAAGAAGAGATGTAACCAGAATTTTGTCCATCACTACTCTAATGGAAAGGTGTAAGACTGTTCTGCTGTCCTATAAAGGCAAAGCCAAGCAAACAAACCATCTTTCTTTCTTTCTTTCTTTCTTTCTTTCTTTCTTTCTTTCTTTCTTTCTTTCTTTTTCTTTCTTTCTTTCTTTCTTTCTTTCTTTCTTTCTTTCTTAATTAAAAAAAAAATGAGTCCACAGTGGTCCCCCAGTTTTGTTTTGGTTGTTCAGTCAGATCTTCTTGTGGTTCAGATAAGTATGTGGTGCATTGACTGAAGTTAGGCTGAATTTTATATGAGCTGAAAATCTTAATTTTGTTAGACTTCTGCCTCCCAAACCCCCCTACAGCACAATGTATGTATGACACCATAATTTCATTGATTTAATACGCAAGATGAAAGATGTCATCAAGCCCCATATGCTTGCTCTTTTTGCAAATAGCAAGCTAGATAATTTTAAATGCAAGAAAAAGAGCTGGCAAAAATTGTACAAGGAGAGAGTGAGAAAATAGCAGCACCACTGTATCTTATGATTTAAGCCAGAAAAAAATATTATTTGAACCCCCAAAAGTCTTATTTTCTTTCTATCCAATCCTAAGTGGTTTCTGAACTGAAAATGGAAGAGTCTGGAAACTGGTATCTTGTGTTCCATTAATTAAAAATAACATTTGGTATTCTGCTTCTGTTTTGCTCAGATTCTGTATAGAAACTTAGTAATGCCACATTGGAGGTCTTGAGATAGTCAGGGCAGTGGGATAAGGATAAGAATGAGTGAGTTCTTAAAATGAGGAGGTTTCCCTTCTGATTTAACATCACAATATAACTGTACAATACCTGAGGCTGTTGAGTTCTGTATTATCACTTTGTTCTTATTGTGCACCTCAATAAATAAATTCTGTTTGCAAAGTTGTTTGAAAGAAAAACAAACAGAAGGCTTCTCAGTCTACCGAAAAACCACTCTTCCTTCTCAGAGAACACATGTTCATTTTTAATCTAAACAGACAATTCTTTAAGTCAAGTTAGAAGCACTGAGACTGAATGGGTAACCATTTCATGTACACTGTGGATACTTAGTGACTTTCCCCCCCCCCCTCAATAAATTATAAGCTTTATTCTGCTCAAGGAGGGATATGATATGTTTAACTTATATTTTATAGTATAAAGTATGTGTTAGGAACAAGGAAAAAAACTGGAAGTATCGGTCAAAGTTCATTACTTCATTATAAATAATTGAAATGCAAGTTAGGTGACTTCCTAATTAAAAACAAACAAAAACCAAAGGAAATGGCTGTGTTTTGTTGTGGCATAGAGTCATCCTGGACAGACATCTGTCACTGCCACACTACTCAGTTTTCTTTTGCAGTAAATGATGCTGTCCTTGGGGCCACAGATGATAATATAGGTAGTGGGACTGAACTGCAGTCATTGAAGCAAACTTAATTTAGTGTGACTGCTTCAGGCTTAGTGCTTAAGGCAGAGCTTCTAGCAATAAATGTTGTAAGTTAGCTATTAAAAAGATTAAAACCAAACCAAAATAAAATAAAAAACACCCTAGTTACTAGAATATTCTTGACTTTGGCAAGTTTTCTAGAACGGGCACAGAACCAAAGAAATTCAGCTTAAAAAGTTAACTATGCTTGGGTAGAAATGACCCTGAACAAAATTATTGACTTTCCAGAAATGTCACATCAGGAATTACAGCAAGAGGTGGGAAGGTTAAAAACTAAGTAGAAGTATGCTAACAGTAACGTTATAGTTTTTATATCTTACATGCAATAACTTTTTATGAAATTTAATATATCATTTTATGTGTATATATTCTACAGCTGCACTCCAATTCTGACAAAGGCGATGGATCAGTCAAATACATTCTTACTGGAGAAGGGGCAGGAACTATATTTATTATTGATGACACGACTGGAGACATCCACTCAACCAAAAGCCTAGATCGAGAGCAGAAGACACACTATGTGCTTCATGCCCAAGCTATTGATAGACGGACAAACAAGCCACTTGAGCCTGAATCTGAATTTATTATCAAAGTACAGGATATCAACGACAATGCACCAAAATTTACAGATGGACCGTACATTGTTACTGTGCCAGAGATGTCTGAAATGGGTAAGGAAAACAAATTATTCTAATCAACAATCTTTTAACAAGTGAAAATGCCACATGCTGTTTGACAAAGTTATGAAACATTAATGTATTGTTGTTTGTATGTAAAAGATATTACAGTTAAGAAGAGATGATAAGAAGACATCAAATGCAATGTATGTGACTTGAGACATTAATATTAAGAAAATGGTACACACACACACATACATGCTGACTGTAGATGAGAGTCACTCTTACCGTTGAATGTTTTAACAGACGTTCCTGGGCAAATGATACGTTGCAAGTAGAAACAAGATTTATTCATAGATCCTTATTCAAATACACACTTTATAGCCTTCTCTTATGTCTGCATGAGTAGTCTGTGTAAGCCACAGAATGAAACGGATACAAAGGAACAGTATGTTTCTAGATTATTTTAGACCATAGTCTCATATGTCTACTTACCTTTATTAAGTTTCCTATAAAGTGAACTGAAGTTCAAAAAAGTACTGATCTTTGGTTTTCCCCATTAGAAATGTAGAACCAGTTTTCTTTATTTATTGCTTGTCTGGTGTTGAAATTAGTTTATAACTTTCATTAATATCACAGTGTCAAAGCTACATAACTAGTCTAGGACAGGCAGATGAAAATAGGACTTTTGTGCTAAAGATTTTTTTTTTAATAAAGCTTAATTGTCATGATTGGTCTTTGTGAAAAATATCTGCTGTCTTTTAGTAATGAATGGACAGTACAGATAGTTACCTCATGAACACACACTTTTCCCATTCCCCCCAAATCCCTACACAGCACATCTAAGAAAAAAACCTTCAAGGCCAAGATGTGTGAGAAGTAGATAATTCGTTCTTCACTCCCTGCTGTTTGTCTGATAAGCAGGTGATAGACTTTAACTTCTGCAGAGTAGAATTTTAAAATTAAAAGGGAAAATACTAAAATACTTGTAGTTACTCTACTGTTGTAACAATATTGATCCTACATATAAGATCAAATTATTATTGTGATTGAATCTTAATGATTTGTCATCGTTTGATCACTTTGAATGATGATGATAACTAGATAATGAACCAGAAAATAACAAATTATTTGTTCCATATTTGAAAGTCAGATAAAATATTTTCTTAATATAATTATTTTGGATGGGAGGGTACCTTATACAACTTTCCTAGTGTAGATGGGTGAAATTCATTTTAAACTGGGAATCTGTGTTGAATTCATCTTCTGTGGTACCACCTGACATTATTAAGCGAAGTTCAGACATATATGGTTGTGTAATGAGGGAATTTTAATCTCTTTATGGAAGTGTGCATACCATTTGAACTGCATACAGTTTCATGATATGCAAAGAAATATTTCATGTGGAGAGACTAAACAGGCCAAAACCACAGCTTCTACTATAGATACACATGGTAAAAATAGTGCAAACATATAGTAATCATACCAGTCCTGGAAAGACCGAAATATATTGAATCTTATTCCTGACCGTGGAGTTTAGAGCTGTGACAATTAGGAAGCAAAGACTGATTTTTACACCAGTGGCTTCATCATTGACCTAAGTGGCTTTAATCTTGTATCAAGTATTTTTTCCTATCTACCATGCAGAATCAGATTTTAAGTGGACTCCTTATCTTACGAAATGTGATATTTTAAAAGGATATAAAAAATTTCCCTCATTCTCTTTCTTTTCCACTGACTTTATTACTGCCTCTTCGTTCTTACTGCCACTACACTGACACATAGGAATAGTTCATTCATTTTCTTCTTAAAATGTCTTCCATATGTGATGTTCTAAAAAATAATCTACCTGTCTGCATCATAATTGTGTTGTTCTCATACTTTGTTCTTCTTAGGTACTTCTGTAGTACCAGTCTCCCTTTCCAGTCCTCTCCTCTTTTCCAAGTCCTTCCACAGTGTGCTATTTGAGATGTCTCTTCCCAACCGTGGAGAATTCTAAGCCTGTTTTTCCTATAGTCCCTCTTGCAACAAGAATGCACGAAGGGAGAAACAGCTTTCTTTGGTCTCCTTTTATTTCCTGAAAATAAAGATTTTCAGATTATAGATCAAATATTTTTTCATTTCTTAAAATAATTTGCAAATTGTTTTTTGTTTTCTTAAACCACAGCTTCCTCTCAAATACTGACTTCCTTAATCTCATCTCTTACTTCTCAGAGCTATAAGCACATTAAGTCTCTATTCCATTTACACAGTGATGCTAGTGCATATAACAGGATGTGTTTTTAATGTAGTATTCCCTGTTTTAACCATCTAAGCATACTATTGCAAATATTCCCACAAGAAATTTATGGAAGTACAGAAGGGGCAGTATTTCTGAGAGTAAACATAACACCAGGACTGTTTAGGCAATGCACCTTTGTGGGAAGTGCTACAATGAGGGGATAGAGCTCCCAGTAAGAATATTGTGGGCCTGTAGGAAGCCTCTTCAGTTGTCTTTGATAATTCACTGTGGCACAAAGCTTTACTGTTAGAGTTAAAATTCATTTCAGTAACATCTAAGCTCTTCTCTCCATTGCCTCTCATCACACCAGACTGTCTTGATGTGAAATTCATTTCCTTTATTGACTGTGTCCAAAAATGCATAACTTCATGTTTCTCTTTCTTCAATTTCCTTTGTCTTTAATGGAGACCATTATAATTAATTTATTATTTCCTTCCCCTGTGGAAGCCTTTTATTTTCTGCATAGGTGGAAAGACGATTGAAAGGAAATCAATGTTATCCTCAAAGTCAAAAGCAGCTAATATAATTATTTTTATTTGTTCATTCTGTTTATAAAAGTTCTCTTTTATTCCATGCTCTCAAAATGTAGTATCCTTACACAGATGTTAGTCATGATTCTGTAGTGGTCTGAATCTTGGTAGTACTGTACAACTACATTACACAAGTTACTGTTTTCCAAAGACCAATTCGAATAGTAAGCCTGGGATGGCATTTGGGGTTACAAAACAGAGTGGATTATGGTAAACCAAGGAAGTCTTAGTGATAAAATAAAGCATTAATGCATGTTTTATAAATGAAATACCTTACTGCTTGTACCTGAGGTAAATCATTAAAATATCTATTCCACAAAACTTTCCTTTTGTGTAAATGAAACTGAATTTTCATATCCTGCCAAACAGGCAATCTGCTGTGGGCATAAATTATAATTTATGATAATTGTTTTCTTTTTTCCTTATTGATTTGTTTGTGTTTGTTCAATACGGAAAGCATTTTATTGTCTGCAGTCTCAGGAAGACTAATTCTATTATTGCTTCTACAGGATACATTATTTCTATCAAATAATGGGGATCCCTATGCCATTTTTATTAATTCTGTAATTAGCATGGTTTTTGACATTTAGTTGTGGAGTCTTTACATAACTGAACTTCTTGTTGTTGTTTTATGAATTCATAAGGGTGCTTCACTACTTCAGAAATTTCTTCCACTTTTTTGCGTGATAATTAAAAGAACTTTCAATGTTACCCTCTCTCTGTAGCAGCCCTCATGCCAAGTGGCAGGTGGCATTTTTGATGTCTGTTATGCTGTTCAGTTTCAGCAGCAGGTTCCTGTCTGTCTCCTCAAGAAGTTAGCTGGTATTTTTCCCACAAGTTGAACCTTTCTTGATCTACTTGTAAAAGCTGTAGGACCTTTATGGCTTTTCTTTTTTTAGGTCACTGACAAGAAAGTACAGGTAAGTTTTGTTAAATTTCTTGACAAATATAGATCATAGTGTTCACTGTGGCACAAAGTGAGCATATTATTTATGCTTTATGTACTATGCTGAAAGAGCTGAAAGAAAAAAACATATTCCTTGATGTCATTGAACCTTTTTCCTACAACTTGGATCAAGAACTAAGGTTTATATCTGAAACTATTTCTTCTGCAGTGTAAAAACCTCAGTCTCATTGAGAGCTATAACTAGGCTGTATTTTAAGGTTTATGAAAGAGTCATCACTATCTAAATGTAAAAGGAAATAAAAAACGTTTTTCAATCAGTAAAATCCTTCCATATCTGTTCGTTTTCAGATAGCTTCAAAATGGGTGAAATGTTGCATATTAAATTTTATAGTGTTGAGGTCATACATAAGAAGAGTATTCCAATTAAATTCTACTTAGGAAATTAATAGACACACTACACTTTTCAGAACTTCTTTCCTGGATATTATAATGTGAGGTAGTCATAATTTCAGATAATCTGGAAGGCAATATTCCTGGTGTTTATGAATATGATTTGTATGAGAAGTCCCTACTTATCTCCTGTGTTGTTTGCTGTCTATCTTCTAATGAAGACAATGAAACTGACAAAAAATACTGAGATTTTCTACAATGAGGACTTGGATCAGTAATGTAGTCACTGGACTCAAAAGTGTTGATTTCCTGATTAAGTCACTGTTTTAAAATGTAGAATGAAGCAAAATCATGTTGTGTTGACTTCTTAGTTTTTTAAGAAAATTTAAGAATTAGTTTAGTTTGGCAGAAAATCCCTGTGTTCATTAAACTTCACCTTTTCTTCACTTCTTTTGTTTTATATTTATTATGGATCCATTTGAGATTTTAACAGTGCATCAGACTATGGAAAGTCATACATACAGATCTGCATTCTCAACAGACGTGTTTTATTGAACTTCCTCATTAAACAATAAAAAATTATCTTCAGAGAGACAGATTGAAATATTTTGCTTCAGCTTTTCTTGGATATATAACTTTACAAAATTTTTATTGTAAACATATTTTTAAAAAGATAAAAACGAGATCAAAAGAAGAGATTTTGAAATAAAATTACAATTTTATTTCCCAATTGCAATTATCCTTATTTTTGATAACAGAAAAAAGGCAAAGCTTACAGAGTGGTGTTCAGAGCATACAGACATATGTTACAGCTCTGCATAAAGCATTAGCTAAGAAAACAGAATTCCCAATGTGTAATCTCTAAACCATAGCGGGAAATCATGTGGAATGGTAGTTGTACTCTGAATAACAAGAGCCTGCACTCTGGGGAAAAAAAAGTCTTTATTATTGCTTAACTGGAGTGTCAAAATGCTTTCTTAGCAAAATTTTGAGTTTTTCTTGACAGGCACTTTCACAGTAGGTTAGTGAAGAAAGTATGGAAGGTATGCCTCTGGGTGTGATGTTCCTAACTGTTCTGAAATCTCCAGGGAAATTAGATCCTTATTTTTTGTATTAGATTATTTTCTTCAGAATTATTAACATTAAAAACAGCAAGGCAGTTGAGCTGTATACTTTTCCATCTAAATCCTTCATTAAACATAGCTCAACAGCAAAAACTGGTACTGCATCTGCGTGGTACAAATGTGTTTGGAATCGTGATTTGTCTGTTGGTGAGCTGAATGATGCTTACTTTGAAAGGAGTATTTGGAAGATAAAGATACGCTCTTTGCCTTTTTTCTCACAAGGCATTCTAACCCACAGCTTTCACAAGCTGTCTTTTCTCTGTGCTCGGTAAATCAGGCAAGAGTTAGGCAAAAGGCCAGTATGGGTGTATCTTACAAGATGATGAGCGTGCTTGTGTAATGCAGTGAAAAACTTAAGCATCTGATGAGCTACATTGCACTGAAGGAGGGTTTGAGATGTGGAGTGGGGGGTTGAGTTAAAACTTGTGATTCCAAGTGCTCTTTTAGATGGATAGAGAACACTTTGCCACTATTCTATACCAAGTTACTATTATCAGATGTTTCTTAGGAGAAAGATGCAGATGTATTAGAAAATCACTGTTGCAGATTTTAAGGTACAATAGCATTCCAGTCATGCTAAAATGACCTGTCAGCTGCTTATGTGAGATACCACCTTTCACTAGCCCTATTTCTTTGTCCCACAATGAACAATACAAGCACTCAGATTCTATCCCCTATCTTTTAAAATAAGATAGGGGATAGAGGAGGGAAGAGATAGATAAGATAGGATAAGATAGAGGAGGGAAGAAACTCTCTGAAGAATGAGAGAACCATGAAATCTCAGTATTTCTGGTATTTTCTTCTTCTGAAATAGCCTAAATCTGTCCATCGATTCCAAAATCTACCTTGATTTTCTAGAACTCTGGGAAAAAGTATAAATGAGAACTCAACCTGTTAGGCGAGTAGGCAAGTGTTGGTAACTGTTTTCCTGGAAGCAGAAACATTTATAGATAAAAAGGTACAGAAGGTGCCCTGCGCTCTGGGTAGCAAACTCTGGTAGGTGACTAACTATACCTATTGGATGAGTATGTTTTTGTTGTATGCAATTAAAAAAAAATAAAGTCATTGTGTATCAGTAACCTATTAAGTTTTAATGATTCCACAAGATACCAACATAAAATAATGAAGCCATGAATAAAGGTAAAACATCAAATTAGTGTGGACAGGAATTCACCCTTGAATACAACAGGCACAAATGGAAGACAGAAAGGTCACAGCTTTTCCACCACAAGTTAGAAATTATTGCTAAACTGGGCTACAAAAATATATCATTACAGTATTCAGCTAAGCTATACAATAGGGGAAAAAATATGTTTTCTGTCCTTTGAAGTGACCTGCTGGAGTTCGCAGGAACTTTTATTCTAAGTTTAGATAGCAAATAAATATGACTGAATAGATTACTAGGACATTTTAAGAAAATTACACTAGCTTTAGTTCGTATTTGTTTACCTTGGCACATAAACTCAAATACAGTGATTTAGTAAGTTTTACCATTAACTCCTGAATAACCGTGAACAGACTACTATCTCCAGCTTGATTTTGTTACAATATTCAACTCCACATTCATCAAGATATCCTTATATCTGCTGTGTGAATATGATTGTCTATGAGACTGTATGCATTTGGGCTATTCAGAGACCAGAAGACAAGGTATTTAAGTATTCAGACATATTTGCAGTACCTTTTACTAGATCTCTAGTAGAGATACAAAAGCAACTTTCAGCATCCAAGTTAGTGTGGCACAAATGGAATGGCTTCTCAAACAGTGAAGAATCCTGATCTGCAAAGATTTGCATGCTTGCTTTGCTGTACTCCAAGTGAGACTCCGTGAGGTACTTCCGTTTGCAGTGTACACTGAGGCTGTGCACGTTAACAAACATTTGTTCCATGCAATGGAAACTGATCTGTGAAGTTAAACAGGTGGAACTGAGGATCTGATGACCACACCATATATGTTTTTGAGAAGTCTTTATTTCAGACTAGCTCTTGTCTGGTCCCTGAGACTAAATGCTCATTAGCAGTGAGAATCAATCAGATGTGCTGCTAAAGCACATCTTCTGGTTTAGTTTAATCTGAAGGAATCTAGTGAGCATGCTCTGAAAGTGTTCCATGAGGCAAATTAAAGTACAACAAGTGGGGAGAGATCAAGGGATTCAATTCAAAAGCATGCTTCTGCTCATAACTAAGATGTAAAATTGAACACCCTAGAGTGAAGGTGATGTCTCAGTGATTAATCTAACTGAGAAGCCACTTTCAGGTGCAGAATTACATGCGAACAGCCTGTTCTGTTATTATTCCTGCATTTTAGTACTGGGCCAAAGAAGTCTGTAGAAAGCAGTATCTGTAGGAGGATAAACAAGTGGGATGAAGGCTGAACTTTTACTAACTTGCCAATTTTTAATTTACTGATTTCTTTTCTGAAGTGTTGGGCAGTGATAGCAAAAAGATTAATCATTAAATGTCTTGAAAAATACAGTAAAATATAAAATTACTTCTCTATTCTATCTGTGCAGTACTTATGCATTTTATTTTCTACAAAGTGTTACTCATAATTTATCCCACTTAGTGACTTGCTAGAAACTGTGATTTTACATTTCTAATGGTATTTATTAACAGCATACAAAGATTTGTCTTTAGAACTCCTTATCTTTCTAATTTGGATCCATCATTGGAATTCAAACAAGGTTCTAGTAGTTATTTTATTTTCAGATTGTTGATGTCTTCCAATAGCTAGATTTTTTAAATTCTCTTAGTAGGTTTTATTGGTTTGGTAGCATTTATGCAAATTATTTTAAATATGCACTTCAACATTAATTTGTGTTGTGGATTAAAATAATCCTAAAGTACATAAATATTCATTGTTCAGAAGTCTAAGCAGTATCCAAGTTTGGGATCTGTATGTCTGAGCATGCATAAATATGCATGGTATATAGTACTATTTCTGTTATATATATATGTAGTTAAGTTACATATACATAATTAGAGAGAAAGAGAAAAAGGTTTTTTCAAATGAGTAAATAGTTTTCCTTAAACGTATGGTAGGATAGTAACATCGAGAAAATGTTATTACTCTCTCAGTGGTAGAATGTGAGGACTGTAGAGGTTTCAAAAATGCATCTAATATATTTATATTTGTCTGAAAATTATATTTATTATCAATTAAATTTTATTTGCCTGTATATACAGGTACGTCTGTTCTACAGGTGACAGCCACAGATGCAGATGACCCTACATATGGAAACAGCGCCAGAGTAGTGTACAGTATTCTTCAGGGACAGCCATATTTCTCTGTTGACCCTAAAACAGGTGGGTGTTTTATATTTTTGTCAGTGGGATTTGGCTAATGTAAAGCAGTTAACTAAGTCTGGTAGATGAAATCCAATGTACAAAATGTAGGTGGATAGGATAGGATTTTTTTTTTTTTTTAGTTCCTATCATATCCTACTTCTTGCTTTAACACCATGAAATTTAGGAGTTACTGTGTTCTGCTGAGTACTAAAATGAGCCTGCTGTGTACAGAATTAATTCTGCATCATGCCATGATACGAGCAGTTCAGCCAAACTGGAGTAGCGCTTTTTCATCTTTTCAGGCCTCTGTTTGGGAAGTGACTCAAGTGTGCCTAATGCATTATGATTTTAAATACTTTGTTTTGCCTGAAGGATAGGCTTAGGAGGATTATTGAATATGTGCTTCAACACATATACCATAATAAATTAATATCACTCTTGTATTTAAAACTGCAGTATTGCCATTTCACTGAAAATTTATTCTGTGATTCAAGAAATAGAATGAGCTGAAATATTTATGCTTAAACTGTGTATCAGTCTCTCCTTTTTTCCACAAAGTTTAAGTTATGTATATAATGAATACAAATTACATTCTTTAAAGAGAGAAGAAATCTCTTTTAGGGATGGGGTTTGGATTTTCTGAAGAGCATTATCTTAAATATTAATATGATGCTGTATTTTTAGTATGTCTTTAATAATGAGGAAATATAATTTAAGAATTTTTTCATCTGAATTTTGTAACTGTTTTTCCCTATCTATATCAAGGCTTTAATACTGAGGGGAAAGAATGAAATACAGTGGTACTTACACTTAACTATAGGGAAGAATAATGATTTTTAAAATGTGCTGAAGTGAAGTAAATGTAGTGTAAATAGTTTTCTTTGTAAAGTTTTTTAACATTTAAAGGTCTTTGCTTGTTTACGTTGATCTCTGTGGAACTTGGAAGGTATACACTTGTTTTATTACCAAGAGAAGTGTATCTGTGCCATCTCAGCTAGCTTTGAGCTTAGACCTCTTTCGAGTAGGAGATTGGACTCGATGATCCCCCAGAGGTCTTTTTCAACCTTTTCTCAATTATTCTATAAACTTGTGAGCTCATGTTAGAAAGGTCTAAGAGTGCAAAGCCTGACAGGATCATGTTGGAGGACTGTATGAGGTGCTGGGAGGCAAACTCGGGGCAGTCTTGTTTGTACTGTGTTTTGGGAGCTACGGCTGGCACACACCTTACCCAGATATGTGGGAGTACAGTCTGGCAGAGTACTAGCTGTCATGGGCTAAAGCTGCTCTGAGGTACATGTTAACAACCAAGAGGTGTGGGAAGTCAGTGGTACAGTGCTCTGCCCTTGTTTTACTTAGAGATACAGTGCTGGTCTACATTTCTGCTTCTGTTTTGTCACTATATATGGACTGTGTTTTTTGTTTTGACAATGGTGTGGAACTTGTAGTCGGGAGCTGCTGTTCAGTCATTGAAGAATCATAATGGATGTTCTCAGTATAAGGTCTGTATCACAAAAGAAAATGGTATTGTTTTGTCACTGTTTGTATGTTATAACGAAAGCAGATGGGAGTGTATTTTCACTCCCCAAGCTTTAGGCTTTGACAGGCATTTAATAACATTTTATGAACTTAAAGTGGTGTTAATATATGTATAAAATATGAAAATGTTTCTGATACCTCAGTCTATTAAAATGGCAAGAGAGTAAATATTTTATGAGGTAAGTAGACAGTGAAACAGTGAAAAGAACTGGAGAAGGCTTTTTGAATTGAGAAGTTGTCTTTTTATAATTCCAGAATAGCAGTTAATTTAATTTGGCATGATGTAATGGGAAGAAGTAAAATATTGGAAATGATGGGAAAGTCTTGAAGAATAGACTGTTTTGCTGTGAAATTTCACTTTGGATTTCTGGGGTTTAAGACACTTACTTTCTAAAAGCATCACTCTTCTGAATTTTCAAGCATTTCTGTGACCTATTTTTCGTAAGGCTTGAATTGTTCAATTCCATCTTAGTTATATTTTATATGGAAGTTTTCTGAATTTACTGTGACATGCACAAACTTCCTTTTCAAGAAAGAAGTAGAAGGGCCAAAACAGGCAAAAAGACAGAGAAAAATCCCAGCATTAATGACAGTATGTAACATTTGTTAAGCCTAAGGATCTTTTATGGCTATCAGTAAAGCTGCTTGGAGCTATCAGATGCAGACATCAAGGTGTCCGTAACTCTACTGTGAATACTCATCCTAAGAAGTCTGCTTCTAGCTTAGTGCTGCCTAAACTTGATATTAAACAACTTACTATCTGAAGACTAAAATTACGTATTTTTAGGAGCTTAGTTTAGAAGAGTGTAAATAGGATTTTGGAATTCATACATCTAAAATGTAGCAGTGGGCCATCACCAAATTACAAACTTTGATGTAAAAAAAGCTGCGTTCTTGGCAAGAGAACATCTTTGTTGGCTTATCTGATGGAAGGCTAGTCTCTACACACCCAAAGGATGGCAGAGGTGCAGCACTGGGAGAGTAACCCCCCTGCCCTAATTAGAGGCTGGATCCTGGGCTGTCCCAGGAGAGCCTCAGCCCCACGGTCTGGGACTGAAGCCCATCATGAAGAGATGCTGTCCTGATCATCCTTCAAGCTGAAGGAGCTGCTGCCTACAGGTATGAGGCACATTATGGAATGCAAGGAAGAACATTATAGTAGTATTGTACTAGATTTATTCTGGGATGTTTAGAGAAAGAACCACAGGCAAGGAAAGGGAAGGAGTGAGATGGATTAGGGGGGAAAAAAACAAGGAAAAATAGAGGGTTAAGGGGATAAAAGAGGCCAGTCCTGTGTAAATAGGCTCTTGCTCTCTACCATTGTCTAGTTGTGTCCTGTACTGGATGAGCACAGTCTGCCCTGTATCTTCTTATGATCCACATCTATTTTCCTGAGTAAAGAGACTCTCTGTATGCATGTGTCTGGAGGTTTGAGTGGTAGCAACTGGAGCAGGACCACCGGTCAGATGGTCCCATGTGTCTGTGGTGCCAGCAAACTGGAGGGCACACAGTGTGTGCATATTGCATGGGTGTGAATGTCAGTGTGGGATCACTACTGAGTATCAGGCTGGAGTAGCCAGCGAGTCAGTTTAATGGCTTGGGAGCCAGGTATCCACATGGCCAAAAGTCTGGGCCAGATACTGGAGAGACCAGAGGGTTCACAAATCAGCTGTTGTAGGGGCCCAGAGGTCCAGACTGACTACGGAAGCGACTGTATGATCTGCAGGCTGGCTGAGAGGCCTGTTTGCATCTGTGTGTCTCTGTGCATGAGACAAGGGGAGACCAGGGAGCCAGGAGCCTTC